AGGCTGGATAGATATAATATGTAGGAACATGATAATTGATATCATTTCATAAAGTTTATTTTCATTGTCACTTTCAAGTAAACTTTATTATTTATACAGAATAAATAAAAACTATACTTTAAATGAGAAATGATTTGTAAAAATCCAGGGGGGGGTACACCCCCCCCTAATTTCACTCAGGGGGGGGTAATGGACTGCCACCCCCCCCTTGAAACCGCCTATGCATAAAAATGAATAGATAAGACCTGTTACATAATCCTCCATGTGTATTTACACTGCACTGTATACAAAATCTAGCCAGAACTGGTGCATTGCATTTCTTCGATCAGCTGCTCATTCTGCTTGTACAGCCTGCTTAAAGCAGAACCAGGCTGAAAGAATGGCGGATGTTGGCGCGGCACGGGGGAAAGATTAAGTCTGACCGCTGTACCGACTCGACCGGATATTTTTTAGGCAACAGGGCGTACCGTCGCGAGCTCGCTATGAAAGAGTGCTATGACGACCCGGTTCGACCGAATGGACCAATATCTAGTAAAATCTCAATTCTCGGTCTGTGTCTATCAGGGGGTAGCCGAGGGCTTGAGAACCCTGTACGACAATCTAGCTGTGTTAGCACGGGACAGAATTGACTCGGCACGACCTATTGCACCATGAATTAGGTAAACATGAAGTCTAGGCCAAACAATACTGTTTCGTCAGAAAACAAAAAAGTCATACTTGCTTTTAAGTTGTTATATTGAATAATCATAACAAGAAAACCCTGTAGTTTGTAAAAAGCTCGCTTACCGTGCAACATTTAGTTATCAAATCCTTGGAAATTTTGTCAGCTGGTTTTAGTCAACACTATTTTTCGCGGGGTTTCTAGAAACCTCTTTAGCGGATCACTCTAGTTTTCCATTAATTTAACATTTTCACAGTCTTGATTTGTAAATTTTTCACCCTGTCATAAAGGTTTAACACATAGACATATATTTACAGAAAATTCACTGGTTTTGTTTCGAAAACAACTTTTAGTTGTTTCCTTTTGTTATTCTCAAGTCAGCTGCTTCAAATCAACTGGCTGTGAGTTGAATAGAGAAGGTCATGTGGCCAGTTCTCGGCCAATCAGAGAACAGAAATAATAATTTCTATCCAATCACAAGCAAAGTTCCACTCCTTTTATTCATCCTATTCTATCCTAGGATGCCTCGAAGCAACTTTACTTACTTAGCTTTTGCGTGGATTAAATACACTTTCTGTCATTCGTTTCGTCCTCTGAAAAGTTGAAGATAAAAGACGTTTAAAGTTTTTTATCGTCAATTGATAATGTTCACGGGCAGGGGTGAGGTCAATTATGTCTTATACAGAGCGTCCCATATCATATTAGATTATCTTCAATCTTTAACGACAAAATAAATCTTTAATACTCGAAAAACTTATCATTTTCCGCAAGAAAATTCTTATATAAGCCTTATATTATTTTTCAAAATGATAAATTCTAATTAAATTTTCTGATTAGTCCCGAAAATCGTAATTTAGACCCGTTCTCGGTCTAATATGATGTGGGACACCCTGTACAATATGCTGCATCGATCCCATGCAATATTGTATAACTTGTTTATTTCTTATAATTGTCAAATCATAAGTATAGTTAATGCTTATTCAATACAAAAAACTCAATCTAACCCCAATAATCGAAAAATTTAAGAAGTTTCCGGCCCGTCTTTGTACAGCTTCTCAAATTCTTTGTGGTTATATAACCAGCTAATTCGATAACCGCGATAATTATACAAGAATCGTTATAAGTCCTATAACGTGGGTTGTTTAACACCGAATTTCTCGATCAGCGTGGATTTATGTTAAAAGTGTTTGGAAAAGAGTATAATTTTAGAAATATTTGTTTCTTAGATTGCCAATTTGCCGGATAGCTTTAAGACGATTTTCATGTTGTCCCCTACAATCTAAAAATTAAAAGAAACAATTCACTAAAATCATGATGTTCAGTTAAAAAATAAACTGATTATCAATTCTCTCTAATCTTTTATCTTTTTCGCAAACCTTAGAGGGTTTTTAAAGCTATAAATTAAGAGTAGTAAATAACAATAACTGTATCTGTAACTGTAAAAAACCTGTATCTGTTAAGATGGAAATCTTAAATATAAAAAAGGTTTTCATCTTCAGATTGAAATGATAAAGTTAAAGTTTGTACGGAGCAATCGATTTCTCTTAAACATCTGTCTTATTATATATTTAAATGAAAAATAATTAAATAAGGTTCCATTATCTGTTAACCCTCATTATACCTATGTTCTTATATCCATTTTTCAAAGGCTTTTCAAATATAAGTTATAAAATAGTTAATAACCAACCCGCCGTTTGACCGTCCTCCACCCTAATCTAAAAAAAAATATTATATTGAAAAAGTGAAGAAGTTTCAGCTTTCTAATGTAAGCCGTTATAAGTTATTCAGAAAATTACCACAGGGGGATGTGTGGAAACCCCCCCCCCCCCATCTCCCTTAAACGGCCGGGTTAAAGTAATCTTGTTCAAGTAATTTTATTTCAGATATGTAGGAATTATGCAAAAACAAGACAAAACAAAAATTCAGAAAGAAAGATGTTTGATTGATATGAATTTGCAGATAGATGCTATAAAAATTGTTGCAACGTACTGAACACAAAAAATCTATGAAATATGTAATTGTTTCAAACGTAAAAGCTTTATATTACCGAATCATGAACAATAGATCTAGAAGATTGTATTTATCACAATATAAGGCAATACATGGAGTAAAAAACGAATTTAAAGTATGTAAATTATTTTCTTTAATTATTATTTTTATATTCACAACCAGCGACATATATTCCCCTAGCGGCGAAAACTGTCAACCAACGCCATCTCTTGGAAACTTTAGCATTATTGATCAATACGGGCAATGAAAGAAGTCAGGTAGGATAGTTTTATTGGAAAGCTGCATAGTTTTACGAAATAATGGTTGTCAGGGAATAGTTATTCACGAATAAGGAAGTAGAGAAGATGTTTACTTGTAAATAATAATATAATGGTTTTGGTAAGTTATCAAGAATGATATTTTATCCAGGCTTAGGGGACATTAGTTTATCCAAATTGTGAGGATAAACTATCTTGGTATCTATCATGTTAGTTTTGGAACTCTGTGTCCCCTGAGAGTTTATTTTACTATAAAAGCAGTTTAAGTAACTTTATTAGTTAGAACCTTATACAAACTAACCTCACAAATTCACCTTCTTAACTAACTTAAAATATCAAACTAACCAATACTGCAAAGTAACCTCACAAATTCAGCTTCCTAACTATTATCAAACTAACCAATTCTGCAAACTAACATCACAAATTCACCTTCCTAACTATTATCAAACTAACCAATTCTGCAAACTAACCTCACAAATTCACCTTCCTAACTAGCTTAAATTATCAAACTAACCAATACTGCAAACTAACCTCACAAATTCACCTTCCTAACTAGCTTAAATTATCAAACTAACCAATACTGCAAACTAACCTCACAAATTCACCTTCCTAACTGACTTAAATTTTCAAACTAACCTTTAAAAACTAACCTCACAAATTAACCTTGTTAACTAACTTAAATTATAATAATTTAACCTCACAAATTAACTTTACAATATAACTAACTTAAATCAATAAACTAACCTTACAAACTAGCCTTACAAATTAAACTTACTCACTGACTTAAAAAAATAATAAAAACTTTAAACCTAACTTTTACCAACCTCATAAACTTACTGCACAAACAAACATCACAAACCAGCTTTTAAATTAACCTTACAAACTAAGCTCACAAAATGATCAAAATTAACCTTGTAAACTAAGCTTACAAATTAAACTCACAAACTAGCCAGAGATATCAACTGCAAAAACTATTCTCACAAACTAATCTTGCAAAATAAACTCACAGAATAAACTAACAAATTAACCTCTGAAACTAATCTCCCAACGGAATTGCCACAAACTCGAATTTTCTAATCTATATCTTTGCAACAGCAGGTGGTATAAACCTTTGATCTTTCAAAATGTTACTATTTAATCTAACAGTATTCATAGATTGAAATATCTAAGGTCTACAATATTGGGTTGCATAGATATATGGACTAGAAAATCATTGTTTCTGGAAAGACTCAATTCCTTACCCTGTCTTACCAACTAACCTCACAAACTAACCTTACACATTAGCCTTACAAGCTAATCTCGTAAACTAACATGCAACATCTAAAAACTAACCTTTCAAGCTAAACTCACAAAAATAACTTCACAAGCAAATCTCACAAATTAATGTCACAAACTAGCCCCACATCTAAATCTCACAAACTAACCTCATATCTAAATCAGATCTCACAAACTAACCTCACAAACTAACCTCACATCTATATCTCACAAACTAACCTCACATCTAAATCTCACAAACTAACCTCACATCTAAATCTCACAAACTAACCTCACATCTATATCTCACAAACTAGCCCCACATCTAAATCTCAAAAACTAACCTCATATCTAAATCAGATCTCACAAACTAACCTCACATCTAAATCTCACAAACTAACCTATTTTTTAAAATAACATTTAGCTTCCAACTTGTTTTCGAACATTCCTGGAAAAATATGAGAATGTCGTCTTCATTACCAAAAATCCTCAAAAGGCTAACATTGTATACCAACTTATCTCGACCAAAAAACAAACTAATCACTTCAAACAAACATTTAACATATTGTTCTCTGACCTTTATAACTGCGTTGCAGAGGTGGCTTATGGGGGTGGGGGGAAGGGGGGACGTCCCCCTCCTGGAAAATGTGGGGGACGTTCCCCTCCTGGAAAAATTAGGAGCGCAAGAAATCTTGCTAACACATTTTCCACCTCCAGCTGATCAAGGTTTTTACATAAAATGACCAAATCCCCTGTAAATTAATAAAATTATTCCCCCCCCCCCCCTCTGGAAAATATCATAAGCCGCCCCTGCTACTTTGTAATAAGTCTGTCAAGGGAAAAAAAGTCCGTTTTAGGAATGGCGGAAGTGCATGCAATTGGTCAACTAGTTTCCGGTTCCGGTTTTCATGAGAAAGCTCTTTTCTGTAGGTGGGGGATTCATACTGGTGGAGCCTGGAAGGTAAATATTTTAACAATAAAAATAAAATTAATATATTTTTATCTCACGTTAAACTAAAGTAAATTTCACGTAAGATTGAAATTTGATATTTCTGAATCATAACTCCTAATTTTGAAGAGTAGTTGAGAAAAAAATGTCTTGAATTTTAAAAATTGTGTAACTAAATAAATTAGCTTTTCTCAACTTGTGCGTAAAATCATAACTAGAGGAGCTATTTTACCATTGTATCGCATAAATTTCATATTCTCCTCCTGACTACAGTTTACAGTGATATCTACATTTATTTTGCTGATCTGATGGTTGGATTGTTTATAATCGTTAAGGATTCCAAAATATTGTATCATAATAGCGATTTTTCAAAGTTTATTAAGTCTTTCATGTTTTTTGGTTTTATTTGTGTCCATTTCCAATAAACGCAAAACAGCTGATTTTGTTCAGCCCATTTTATGACACCTTACATTACAAAGGAAAGGAAATGGCCGGCCAGAATTCTAAATTGTCCCCCAAAATGTTCGAAATTTTCAAGAAAAAGTATTATATTTGTATTATTATTATTATCATTATTATCATCATAATTATTAATTTTTTATTATCATTATTTTTAATAATTTTATTATTTTTATTATCATCATCATCATCAATATTATTGATAATCGTCTTCTTCATAGGTGTTGGCTGGAACAAAAGAGGGTCAGACCCAGGTAAACTTTTTCATTATGTTTGCTGTGCTATATGCTATTTTCGGGTTGTTTTTATATTTTTTTTTATTTTAGGAAGAAATATTAAAAAAGGAGATATGCAGTGTTGGTAGAAAATAGATAATTATGAAAATTATGGATCAACTTTTGAAACCAAACCAACTTTTAAGTGTCTCCAATAAATTTTTATGCAAAGGATCTTGATATTTCAATACTAAAAGGCGCTGGTTTCTAGATTCAGGGTTTAAGGATTATTTTTTGCCTAATCCTGATACATTTTCACTAAAACTCTGTTAAAGGTTGATGACCCAGAAACTGGAGATATTGCATTCTTTTCTCATCCGATAGATATTCATTTTGCAACCAGGTACATTCATTTCTTCATCCTTTTCTCATCCAATAGATATTCATTTTGGTACCAGGTACATTCATTCATTCATCCTTTTCTCATCCAATAGATATTCATTTTGCAACCAGGTACATTCATTCATTCATCCTTTTCTCATCCAATAGATATTCATTTTGTTACCAGGTACATTCATTCATTCATCCTTTTCTTATCCATTAGATATTCATTTTTCAATCAGGTACATTCATTATTTTCTAATCCAATATATATGCATTTTGCAACTAGGTTTATTTCATTCATGCATTCTTTTACTATCCAAAATATATATTCATTTTGCAGCAAATTGCATTCATTCATTCATCCTGTTCTCATGTATACCTTTATTCTTTCACCTTTACTAATTTTTCCCATCCTTTCATCTTCCATCAACCCATCCTTTCTTCTTCCTCTGTATATTTGGTGTAAAGTTTAATCCTTTTGAAGTACTCTTGTAATTTTATATAAACTGTTCTCCCCGCGACACAAATGACATTCCACCAAATTGCTGAAACAATTTTCAGCCTGAGGCGAGAATTTGTGTTATTAAGACCGAACTTAAATTCAGTCTCGCCACTTAAGCTGAATGCTCTGATCTAATTCCAGCTTAAGTCCACATTTTTGTGCTTGGAATCCATCCAAAGATAAACATGAATATGAAAATAGCAAAGGTTGGTGTGGATATAACTTTACATACAGATGTGATTTTATAATTTTTTTTTTGTTTTTAGAGGCCTCCAAGGCTGGCCTAAACTCTGGGTTCAGGTTTACCATCAAGATTCATTTGCTAGGTAAGTGATTTTACATGGATGTACGGTTTTTAACAAATCATAAATATAGAAATATTTTTTGGAAAATTGTTCATAAAAATTAATTAAAATTGTAGAAAAAAATTGAAAAGAAAAAACTAATTTTTAATCCAATAAACATGGGAAATAGAGACGACTAGATAGTCACCTATGAATTCGTATAATCAATAAATGCCATGATTGATTGATTATAAGATTTTCGAAAATAGGTCTGTACAATCACTCACTTTACACACTTTATATCTTTAACATTGATGGAGATATTAAACAACTAAACACTTCTTGATTTTATTTTATTTCATAAATTGGAATCTGGAGAAATTTCTCAATGACTCTAAAAATTTCAAAAAAACAAAAATGGTAGAGCTATCAAAATTGTATATACGAAATAATGCCATTTGGAACGGAAACGATATAAAAAAAATTAATTTTCATGTAAAGTTTAATGTAAAAAATAACTTTTTCTGTGGCATAAGAGGACCTTAACTTTGTTTAACACTGTGCTTATTTTTAAGGTTTTTCATCGTTCCTTTCGCATGAAAACATTTATACTAAACGATTACATTTTACGATTTCGCAGATTTTTTGTTTTTTTTTCCTGATGAATCTTTATTTTGTTTAATCGTTTTTTAAAAACTTTTGAAATTTTGTTTTTAGGAATGAACTGGTAGGATACGGGTTCACCCATCTCCCCTCCTCTCCTGGTCTACATAATCTACAGATCCTAACCTGGCGTCCTGCAGGTAAAGATATCCATCGTTTTCTCGTTCTTCCAAACGTTTAGGATTTTTTGGCTTTTAAAGGGGCTGCACTTTGAGAAATGTTAAATTTGATGTAGTATCGGAGTCAAATTTAACTTAGAAGTAGCATAGCATTATTCTCCAAAGGAATTGAGTTTTTGCCACAAACTTTTATTTTCTAATCACTATACCTTTGGAACCCGATACTGTAGACCTTTGATATTTCAGACTATGAATTATGTTAGATCAAATAATCATAGTTTGAAATATCAAAGGTTAACATCTTTAGATAGGAGTAATATAGGGATTAAACTTTTTGAATTTGTGGCAAAAACTCAGTTCCTTTTGTTGAATGAAATTTTCAAATGATCAAAATAGAAAACTTGTGCTACAAAGTTGAATTTCTAAATAAAAGTTTTACATTTCTTAGAATGTGTATTGTGTAGACACAATTTCAAGCGACCCTCCATTTATAAAGTAAAATTTCCAATTAACCCTACTGACTTACAGNAGTAGAGCCGTTGGGCCCTACTTCAATGAATAAATTTGCAAAAAATCGAAATATTCTTTGCAAAATCTAGTCAATAAGCAAAAATGTGCAAAAAAAATATGCAAATTGCAACAAATTATACATTTTTTAGAAGCGTCTATGCAAAAGTCTGTGTAAAATTTCTTCGCAAAAATTGTGCAATCTGCTTGTTTTTGTTATAAAATGTTGAAATCCAATGACTGGAAAGTGGAAAGGTCTAAATATAGATTTAGTCTGTAATAGGTAAAGTAAGGCAATTAGGCAGTTTGCCTGAGGACTCAGGCAGTAGGTTCAAAGCCCAGCTTTTAGCCTTAAGTAAGGGGCATGCGTTAGTTTAAAAAGCCGGAAAATGTTAGCTCCCTAGCTAAAAACTTTTAAGTTATTGCAAAAAAACGACCAAATTGCCCCCCCCCCCCACCTCCGGCAAAATAGGATAAAAAACGATACACCTAAATTTTTATCTTAAAGTTTGATATTCTGCAATTTCCTTCAGTCTCTCTGTCACTTTTAATAAGGCAACACAATTAGGAATGATCAATTTTCCGCCAGAAAATAAGGATATCTCATTCATTCATGAATAGACAAAGTATTAAGCTTACCGTTGTGAATCGTACATAGCACCCTATAAATGGAATTGGAGAGTCTCCAGTTCCTTCTAGAGGCTCCGCTCCACACGCATCTTACATACTTAAATTATTTAAAATTGTATTCTCTATAAATTTGCTCTAACTGTGCATATAACATAAGTCATTTTCAAAAATAAATAGTTATTCTAAATTTTTTTACAAATAGCTTACATTACAATTTATATTATATAATGCCTATATATATTTTTGCAGGAGGATATACTGATACCATCTCACACCACTTCCTGGGGGGCAGTCATCAACTCAAGGTACGTACATATTGCACTAAAAAAATTTCGTTATTTTTTTTTCTTCTTCTGATTAGAGTTGATAACTTTTGTGTTGGATGCTCATTATCTCGATTGCTTGATCTCAATATCCACTGTGAACTCTTTTAATTATGGAATCAGTGGTTTCGGATAAAAATGTCTTTGAACGTAGATACTTATTTGATAATCATGATTCCCCCCCCCCCCAGAGACTCCATATTTTTTTTAGTAATCAGTATCGGATCTTTTTTAAACTCTTTAAAATGATTCATTAAATGTTTAGGATTAAAATATTGCATGTCATTTAAGTTCCCTTAACTTAACAATGGTATTTTATCTTTTTGTGGGTTGGGACATAGTGTTTTTTTTTTTACTTTTTATTGAAAAGGACTGTAAATGTAGTTTTAAATGAGACTTCATTGATAGAGTGGTATGTTTGATTCAGAACAATCCTTTGTATGATAAAAAATTAAAGAGTAATCCCTCGTTTCTCTTTCTGAAAATTGATTATTTAATTGCGCTTCTCTGTAAGAAAGAAGAAAATTGTCAGATTAAAAAAAACATAAAACTTCCCTGATGTGGTTCCGGTGTCAATATGAAAAATCACTCAATAAATGTAAGGACACTTTAATTTCTTCATCTACATTATCTTTAAATTCATTTGTTAGGCTCCAGAGCTAATCTTTTCAGCAACAGAAAGGCATAGGCTTACCACTGTTGCAACAGGGAAAATATTTGCTCAGGTGAAGAAACTTCAGTTTTAACATATTTAAAATTAATAAATATAATTGAACTTAACAAGTTCAAAAAAAAGAAATATTGAATAATTACTATTTCAGCTTCATATTGTGCTACGGAACTTTGAAAAGTTTGGTATAGAGTGCTGAAAACTAAAAACTGTGTCGACATCAAAGATAAAAAAGAAATTCAACAAGAATTGGATCTAATTCAAGGACAGTTTCATGATTTCTTTAAGATCAAAAAGAAAACATATTAAAAGAAGCTTTTGATCAAGACTCAGAGAAAGGATTAGATCAAGAATCAGATCAAGAATCAGATCAAGAATCAGATCAAGAATCAGATCAAGAATCAGATCAAGAATCAGATCAAGAATCAGATCAAGAATCAGATCAAGAACAGACAGATCAAGAATCAGATCAAGAATCAGATCAAGAATCAGATCAAGAATCAGATCAAGAATCAAATCAAGAATCATATCAAGAATCAGATCAAGAATCAGATCAAGAACAGACAAAGAATTATATCAAGAATCAGATCAAGAATTAGATCAAGAATCAGATCAAGAATCAGATCAAGAACAGACAAAGAATTAGATCAAGAATCAGATCAAGAATTAGATCAAGAATCAGATCAAGAATCAGACCAAGAATCAGATCAAGAATCAGACCAAGAACAGACAAAGAATTATATCAAGAATCAGACCAAGAATCAGATCAAGAGTTGGATCAAGAATCAGATAAAAAATCAGACCAAGAATCAGATCAAGAATCATACAAAGAGTTAGTTCAAGAATTAGATCAAAAATCTGATCAATAATAAGACCAAGAATCAGATAAAGAGTTAGATCAAGAACAGACAAAGAATTATATCAAGAATCAGATCAAGAATCAGATCAAGAATCAGATCAAGAATCAGATCTAGAATCAGATCAGAAAGAAGATCAAGTTTCAGATCAGGAATAAAATGAGGAATTAAACCAAGGCTCGTTATTGATTAAACGACAAACGCAAGATCAAGAATTGTAATAAGTATCTTATTAAGTTTGGACCAAGTGCGGGAAATGAGTTTAAAAATGAAGCTTGTGCCAATGATTTCAATATGTCTCTACATTCAGTTCAATGTAGCACAAGATAATAACATAAGTAGTTTAATCGGAGCTGATCAAACAACATTAAAATCTGAAAATTCAACAGAAAAAATTGATTTTTCTGAAAAGGATCAAGAAGGATCTTCCAAAGAAATGTTTGAAGAGCTTGAAGAACTCCTAGAAGCGGAAGATTTATCAGATGATGACGAAGCTTCAGGCATGAATGAAGCAGAAGAAACTAATTCCACTTCTTTTGAACCTTCCACAACCGATTCAACAACCACATCCACAACGACAACAGCAACAACAACCACCACCAAAAGGTGAGTTTATTCCAATCCTTTAATTTTAAATTATAAGATGCTATTTAAAAGAATATTATTCGTAAGATTTTTACATAATTTCTGGAACATTTAACACTTTTAGAGCTAAAATTAATTTTGAAAAAGAGTCTCTTTACAGTAAATGTCGTAAATATTTGTATGAGAAAGTGCTGATTTAAATCGCTTAGCTTGATATTCACTACAAAAACTTCAGAAGATGGACTGAAGATAAGGATTACTGCTTTCTAAAGGAACAACTGGAATACAAAATTTCCGGCCTCTTATTTAGATCATGGATGAGCTCTGTTAAAAAATTTTCTGTTTTAGTCCGTCTAAGAAGGCGAGTGTGTTTAAGTACTCTATGTACTGTACATGTGATCTCCTCGTGGATTTATGTGACGTCAACTGCTGCTGTGACAAGGACTGTGGAAGGTATGGGTCGAGCTGTGGGGGGTGGGGGTCTTTATTTATACCGAATGCTGCTAAGGGGCATGGGCTCCGAGTCTTCGCCAAAAACTACAATTTTTAAATCTTTATATTTGCAACCATTGAAATCTCAAACTTAGATTATCGGAACATTGGGTTGTAGTGATAAAGGGATAAGAAAATTAAAGTTTGAGCCAAAGGCTCAAATCTTACAATTATAAACATATTTGTTGAAATCTACACTTTTCGAAATATTTTTTTTTTCAAAAGTTTTGCATAAATAAAAATATATTTTTTCAGACTTGATAGACTTGCTTTTAGTAAATGCGTGGAGAATTCAAAATACAAAAATGATCAAAGGTAAAGGGTTTGAGTGTGTCCATGCACTGTAATAAAAATTAATATGAACAACGTTAGAAATCTAAAATTGCTTTGATGTACACAAATCTTAAAACACAATTTAGGATAATACATATGTATTAAAAAATATTAAAATTTTGAATTTGTTTTATATTGAAATTTTTTGAAAGAATGCAACAATTTGACAAAATGTAAGTCATCATACACAAATTGTAATTTTACGGCAGTGAACAACTTTAATGCATAAAGGTTCATAAAAAATACATTGGTCATCTCATTCTTATTTTTATCAAGGAACTATAGACAGGAACGCCCAACTCGGATATACGCATATTATGTACTGTACACTGTGGGAGGAATGTGAACAAACCCAGTGCCCCCACAGAAGTTGAAGGGAATGGATGTGATATTACAGTCCAACAAAAAACAAGTTAATATATCAAGTTAGAACGAATGCATATGATTTTTGGCTTTCTGGGCAATATGGAAAATACAATAGCAATATATTTTTATTCCTCCCCTTGGGCCCTCAAAAATGATGCTTTTCCCCCTGAATTCTTTGTTTTGATCTCCTCCCACTGCAGTACACAGATTTGACGCATGAGATATGGCGGTTCCTGGTCTATATATTTCTTGATTTTTATCCACAAATTCTAGGTACTGTTACAGCTCAGAGCTTATGTTTACAAACAATGCACAGTACGCAGTAGAACAGGTTTCAGAGTCTTTACTCTGTATTGTCACAGATAATCTTGAAGAGAGAAATAGGTAAGTACAGTTGGACCCATAAAACTTTGGAATTGGTATGCTAAAAAATTTCAAATTTTAAAATTTTAAAATTAAATTAAAATTTTAAAATTGTTCTGTATAGACTGGAAAATATCTGTAAATATAAAGTCCATTAGACTACACTCAAATTCGCCTTCCTGTTTGAACAGTTTTATGTTTTATCAACATTTATCCTTATTTGGGATACACTGTACACTGTACAGGCACACCCTCAAACCATGAAACTTTTATAATGACAACTTAAAAGTGTTTAAAAATCAAACTTTGAAGGTTTATCACTGGTATATCAAAAGATTTGACTAAGAAAAGAATATGCTTACATAATACATATATAAAAAACTTTTTTAAAATCTAAATATTTATTTTGTGGCAGAGATTAAAATATTACATTTGTATTGCAAGTTTACAACTTTCATAAATGGAAAAACTACATTATTTATTTTCTATATAAATGATTCATATGATAGACACAGATTAGACTTTAAATTTAAAATTCAGTAATGGTGATGGACCAAACCTCTGTAGAGTAAAAAAGTAGATGTTAGTTCCACATTTATTGAAAATATATTTCGGTCTGGGTTGACCCTCGTCAGTTCTAACGATATAATAACCATCAAAATCGATGAAAAAAAAATAAAAAAATGTAAAAATCACAAGAATATAAACAAACAAAAAGATTATTCAAAATAAAAATTTGGGCTGTCAAATGGACATAAGGGAAAAGAACTCAGATTATGAGATGGAAAAAANTGTGCTTGTATTGGCGCTTAAGCTTGGAGATAATCTAATATGATATGGGAAGCTCTGTATATAAAAGGCAAAATTAATATGAAGAGTTTCTTGTCGTTATTAACTTCTCATTCTTTGTGAGTCACCGTGTTGTAGGGATTGCGTGAATCACGTTCAAGGAAGTAAATTTAAAGTGATAAAACTTATCCAAGCAATTATTATGATTAAAAAATCAGTGAAAACTTATTCCCCGAGTAAGATTATATTTTCATTTTTTGTCCATTCCCTTCGGAAAACTCACTTTTTCAATATTTTTGAAAATTTGTAATTTTTTGTGGTACTTCAATGGCCCAAAAACATCTGCGAACCTTTTTTTCTCTCAAAATCAAAAGTTCAGAAAAACAAAAATGTGTAAATAAATTGTTTCTATCGAAATCTAAAATTTTAAAAAGATTGAATCAAAGAAAATTCTCAAAATTGTAATAAGAAAATTTACAATTTTTTGTTCTGTTCTAATTTTTAAGGAAAAGATTTTTAAATTCTCTCATTCCTTTCTTCTTAGTATATTCTAAAGTATTAAATATACGCTGTTCAATTGAAACCTTAAGAACCATTGAAAAACAATTTTTCCGTAAAAATTATACCAGAGTCCAATGTGAAAGCAGATTTCAAATTAAAATGAATTCACACGTGATTGAACTGTATCCTAGATATGTAGAGAGGGCTGCTACTGAAAATCTGACTGAGTTTACTAATATGGAGGCTAGGCATAACAAGTTTACTGTAAGTAGAGAGTAGATATTTTTTTATAAACATTAAACAATTGCTCTAGTAAATATCAAGATGTTTATTGGAAACCATAAACAACACAACAGAACTGAAAACTTTAGATCTTGATACCTTTAATTCCGATCGTTTAATATAAATATCCAATGTGGACACTTTTAATTTCCTTTTTAACCCGCTCTTTTTCTTTCTTTTTCTCTCCCTGCCAGTTTCCGACCAATAAACGTTACTCATTAAACGAAACTTTAAAATTTCCCGGCTTCTTGATTGGCTGTTCTGGCTTCTCCAAAACCCTCTCGGTTGGTTAAGTTATATTCACGTTTGTGGATACAAACTTAGGATTGAATTAAACTCGAAATTAACAAAAAGAGAAGATTAAGCATTGATCTCGATATCCATAATTTTAAAGTTGTCAGCTCAGATTGACAAGCTTTTGTGTAATTTTGTACCTTTAACTATATCAATATTTAGTGGAGCGAAGAAACTAAACCAGCACTAGTAGAAAACTACAAACACTATAAAGCAGGTTAATAATGTTTTCAATCAATACTTGTGGATACTCATATATCAACCAGATTTGTACACTGTATACAGTGGTAACCAGAAACTAAACCAGCACTAGTAGAAAACTACAAACACTATAAAGCAGGTTAATAATGTTTTCAATCAATACTTGTGGATACTCATATATCAACCAGATTTGTACACTGTATACAGTGGTAACCAGAAACTAAACCAGCACTAGTAGAAAACTACAAACACTATAAAGCAGGTTAATAATGTTTTCAATCAATACTTGTGGATACTCATATATCAACCAGATTTGTACACTGTATACAGTGGTAACCAGAAACTAAACCAGCACTAGTAGAAAACTACAAACACTATAAAGCAGGTTAATAATGTTTTCAATCAATACTTGGGGGATACTCATATATCAACCAGATTTGTACACTGTATACAGTGGTAACCAGAAACTAAACCAGCACTAGTAGAAAACTACAAACACTATAAAGCAGGTTAATAATGTTTTCAATCAATACTTGTGGATACTCATATATCAACCAGATTTGTACACTGTATAAAGTGGTAACCAGAAAACAGAGTAATTATTGTCTTCTTTATTTATTTCTTTTTGTTATATTACAAAAATTACAAATCCTTAATTCAAATAAAGGAAGAAGACACACTCATTCTAAAGTGTTTTATTACCACTGTGTATGTCAGTCTGTATAGCAGACATTATGTTCAATCATTTTACCTGGTGGGGTCAAGTTGTAAGATGGCAGTCCTGTTTGGATAGAACAGTCAGAAAAATTTGAACTTCTGATCATTTTTTCTACTTTTAAAATTTGAGTCAAATATAAAAAAAAATCTGTGTTTCTGTTTAGGAAATCCATTATGGATCCAGTATTCAGATAATACATTGGGACATCTCCAGATACCTGCCCCAGGATATACAGGAGCATGTCATACATTAGGGATACAACTCATAGATAGATAGATACATGCATTAATGTTTGGTTGGTTAATTGATTGTGTTACTGATTGAATTGTTGGTTTATTGCTTGCTTGGTAAAGTTGTTGATTGAGTCATTTATTTTTTAACTGTTTTCTTTGTTAGTTAGCTGGTTGCTTTGTTTGTTGGCTGGTTGCTTTGTTGGTTGGCTTGTTGCTTTGTTTGTTGGCTGGTTTCTATGTTGGTTGGCTGGTTGCTTTGTTGGTTGGCTGGTTGCTTTGTTGGTTGGCTGGTTGCTTTGTTTGTTGGATGGTTGCTTTGTTGGTTGGCTGGTTGCTTTGTTGGTTGGCTGGTTGCTTTGTTGGTTGGCTGGTTGCTTTGTAGGTTGGCTGGTTACTTTGTTGGTTGGCTTGTTGCTTTGTTTGTTGGCTGGTTGCTTAGTTGGTTGGCAGGTTGCTTTGTGGGTTGGCTGGTTGCTTTGTTGGTTAGTTGAATTTTTATTTATTTTATTAAATTGTTTATTTATTAATTTATTTATTTATTATTAATTGTTGATGCTAGATTACTTGATTGATTGATTGATTTGTTGGTGAACACTGACTGAGTGTATTGTATTGTATAGAATCTGTAAAGTTTATGCTGGAGAAGAGTTCTAAATGCCCGGTTTACTTAGGAATGTTTCAAGCAATAATCTGTTATTTAACTTTTGGTTTAGAAATTAATCAAATTTTATCATTTCAAAATAAGCAGATTTATGATTAGTTGTATGGAAAGTTTTAAAAACAAGCTTTTTTTACTTTTATATTACAATTTACAAATACAATATTCAATTATGATAAACCCCAGTCCTGATTTTCTGTTCTTTACTACTGTTTTTTTTTTACTTTTGATTTTTGTTATTTTCCTTCTTATTGTAAAGAATATTGAAATGTGCTTGTTTAAAGCAAGAAATGTGTTTATTATTTTTTAACAAAACAGTTTTTATGAAAATTTGACAATTCTGTAAGATTTTGGTCGTGGAGAAAAAAATTATCACCCGTCTCGAACTTTGAAAATTTTATGTTTAAAAAAAGAATAAAATTATAACATTTACGATTGGATTTTTAATGATCAAGCTTAAACAATTACTAAGATGGGGAGGATTTAGACTGTACAGGATTGAGAACACTAAACGGAAACAATTTTTTCAAAAATTTCCAAATTCTTTCTGAACCCTCGCTCTTTAATCCTAGAGTTAACACAACAGAATTAGGTAATTTTAACATATGATAAATAATTTTAGACTTTCAGATAAAAAAAATCATTAGAAATTATAAATTGAACTCAATTTTTAAATATTGGCTCTTCTAAGAATAAACTTGCATCAAATTCTGATTTTCAAATCTTTGCAACCTGATGGTGTAACCATGTCTGATCAAGAAAGTTTTTCTTATAAAATTCATATTATTATTGTGGTTTCTCTAAAAAATGACTTGCGAATATCTACTGCAGAAACAATGGAGAAAATTGTGAGAATTACCAACACTTATAATGCTAGAAAAACAAAGATATCTTTCGAATTTTCGATCCGATAAAAATGCTAAGGGAACAGTTTAAAATCTGGCAAGCCCCTCTTTAAAAAGAGTCACCTGCAATAACAGTTCCCTTAGAAATGGGATAGAAATACGATTTTATAAGGGGGTGCAGCCCCCGGGGTACAGTATTGGTCCCTTATTATTTTTTAAAAATATATTTTTGTTATAGATAATCCGTATATCGAAATCTCCACCTATATCTGCAGGAGTGAGAACCCCTGCCCGGAGTGTCTGGAACCTGGAACCTTTTGTCCTCAATATAATCTGGTAGACAAGGTTCCAGAACCTACTCAGGAACATCTTTCAGATCAACTTTTTTAATGTTTTTTAAGAGGCCCTGTTTTGGGAGAAAAATCAAGAACTAAACCTGCAAAAAGAGTCTTTTTATTGGTTATTATTGAAACCATTTCAAATCTTACTAAAGGGAGTGACCAGCTATGTATAGTAGTTGAACTGAGAATCTAGTATTCCGGAGAATTTTTTAGGATTCATTTGAGAGAGACCTAGTTTATGGTGCATATTTGTTCAGCAAGAGCACAAACTCGATCTTTAAAACTCTCATTGATTGTTCATTTTTCAGGGATGATTTTGAGAATCGGTTACAAAAAATTATTCAATAACGACGAAAAATGTATTAAAAATTCAACAATAAACTAATAAGTTGTTTAGGAACAGGTTGAGAAAATAAAATTTAACTTATTCAGTTATTGGTTTCTGTAATTATGTCTCATTCTTTACAAACATTTATATGTAGATTTCCCGAAATTTTTATTGAAAAGACGACATTTTAAGAATTATAAGAAATCTGCGAACAAATATATAAGAATAAGACATTTAATATAATGATGAAAAAGAAATAAATGATTATAACACTGATCTATCAAGAAAATTTTAATTGAGAAATATGTTAATAAACATCTAATTGGTTTACTGTAGAATTTTTTTACAATTTTTGTCGTCATTATTCAATAATTTTTAATAAGTCGATTCTCAAAACGGAAGATTTTGAACGACGACTTTGCGCTCAAACCCAGTAATTTTACACCATTAAAAGTTTCATATGTTTCAAATGAATCCTAAAAAAATTCTCCATAATACAATATTCGCAGTTTAACTACCAAACACGTTTCCAGTCACTCCCTTTAATAAGATTTGAAATGGTTTACAAATAACCAATAAAAATCAGTCAATTATTTATAAAATATTTTAAATAGAGAATTTGAAACTTAGAATTAGAATATTATATATCTTGAACTGTTGTAGAGATTTTTGACAATCAATGCATAATTGCATGGATTACAAATTACAAACTTACAAAGTTATTACCTACATTTCTTATGAACAGGTTGTGCAAGTTGAAGTATTTATTATTAGGGCAATAGCGATTTGCAATCACTGTATAGAACTTTAAATCTGATTGATTCTGTATTTAAGGATTGCAAGAATATTGTTGAAAGCGTCCATTACAATATCTTCCACAGTGGTGTAGAAGGGATTAATGCTATTGACGCATTCATAAAACTTACAAATCTCACAAAACCAAACTTTCATCAAACATTCTCGTATCGGAGCTTCTGGTCCCAGGATAACAAAACAACTACCTCTCCTAGAAGCGGTAACCCTGGCTACCTGGTGGGAAAACCGGTTTTGTCCGGTTCCATGAACACCTCCACCGCAGGGGAATACTTTATAGACGACCAGGTGGAGGCAGGTAGAAAACTCACCCTGTTTGTACCTGGATCGAACGGAAAATGTGATTTCAACGCTAGAGCAGCAAGATCTCCTATACTGTTTGGAGAGAACGTAAAGCTGGGTTGTTCCGTGTATCTGAACAGAACTGAGATCAGTCAAAGCTGTACCAGCCTGAAGAATAAAAGCTTTCAAATGCTGAATGGAGTTCAGTTCCAACAAATGACGGAAAATTATGTTGCAACTTTCGGGAATTCTCAACCAAATCAGACTTGGGATTGGGTGAAAGTTAGTAATGAAAACAAATTTTTTAATCACATTTTATAAATCTAGGACAGAAAGAAAGAAACACAAGCGTCTTTAAAATATTTGACCGAGAATGTGATGAAAATTGCATCCCTGTCTTTGAAATGCATTGCCAGTGTTAATGAAATATCAAGTTCATGAAATATCTTGTCTTTCAAATAACTTAACCCTGAATTGTCCTAATTTTAAAATGCTCTTAAAATCAATGAACTGTCATATTATAGATTTTTATATACAGTGATGTTCTAAATAAGCCGGAATAATATGAATTGATTGATAACTTCAAAGTCGTCTTTGACCTAAAAATAGCTTGCGGCATTCAACATGAGTAAATTGAGTTTAGCAATATTTTTTTATCAAACATTAATCACAAAATAGCCATAATCATGCAATTTCCATTATGTGGTCTGCCATTTTTTTTCTCTCAAAAATACCATAGATATAAGAGTGTAAAGTACATTCTGTAAAATTTTATCTTATGGTGAGAAAATCTACTATTCCCGAATGAGAAAATCAAAATTTTAAACTGGGAGCCAAAATTGAAATTAACCACCTGGGTCTTTGCCTTGAATTATGTCAATGTAATATTTTGTAAATGGAATGTATCATTTACACTCAGACAAATTAGAAGCAATGGAAATTTAAACCCCCGAGGGATTCAATGAAAGGTGTAGCCCAAGGGTTTATCATTGAATCCCGAGGGGGTTTAAATTTTCATTGATTCTAATTTGTTTGAGAGTAAATGACATTCCTTTTTATAGAGGGGATTCAATGATAAACCCGAGGGCTTGGGGATTTTGCGGATTTTTTTTGCCTTTGTAGATTTTCAAAGTATCTTTCAATGAAAATATCCCGGCAGGATCAAATGAAAATTGTTGCATACCAAAAAACCAAATTTTTATAAAGGAATGGGTATTTTTACTATCTTGAATCTAAATTCGCTCCGAAAAAAAAATATTTTTTTAGTACAACCAATAAATGCATTTTCGAACTTAAGTTTACTCTTTGAATTAATTATTTCCAGGTATTGATAGTTGATTTGCCAAACTATGGAGTTCCCAGTAAAAGATTTGATGGAAGATGTAACAATGTTGTCACATCTTTAAACATAGAAGTTGTCTATGCAAGCATAGGTATTATTATCATCATTATTGAAATTTGTCGAAATTTTCTCGAAAATTGTCAAAAATTGTCGAAAATTGTCGAAATTTTGTCAAAAAAATTTCGAAAATTCAAGTTGCATAGTTATGTCTGCTTTTACTGTGTCATCTTCATACTTCTATTGTCGAAATTTTCTCGAAAATTGTCAAAAATTGTCGAAAATTGTCGAAAGTTTGTCGAAAATAATCGAAAATTCAAGTTTCATAATTATGTTTGCTTTTACTGTGTCACCTTTATACTTGTATTGTCGAGTGTTTGTCGAAAATGATAATATATAATATTATCATTATCATTATATTATTAATAATAATATTACAGGGTGTCCGTATAATTCTTATAATTTTTAAACAGCTATTTCTCTGTATTTTTTTGGAATTTTTACAATCTTTAAAAAGATTTGAGTAACTGTAATATGAACGTTTTGCAATATAACAAAATATCTGCAACATGTATTACAGAAAAAAAACACAAATTCAGTTTTCCTATACACCAGTATTTCTATAAAACGTTTCACGCGAAGTTTCCCCTTTCTTTGGGCACGCGGGCTAGATAAAACTAATTTTGCACGAAGATAGCCGAGGTCAAGAGTTACCTCATCAGAGTTTTTAAAATTCGTCGATACCTCCTTTCGTTGAAGAGTTATTACTCTTCTAAGTCAACCCGGCAGAAATATTACTAAGTGTTTTAGTCAATTTTCGCACCATAGAGCTGAATTATACATTTACGAAAATGGCGGTCATTTTTAACACTTGTTAAAGAAAAAGAAGTGAATTCGTTTACAAAAACGTTTATACTTTGATTTCTCATTTTTTTACAGTTTACAGACTGGAAAAATTTCTAACAATAATAAAGTTACTGCAATTTGAAAATTGGCAAGATTAAAAGGACACCCTGTATTAAAAGATCTACATGTTTGAGTTCTATTTTTTCAATACTGAAAAACAAAGATATCGACCGTTATCATTTTAAAATATTAATAGTAATTATTATATTTGTAATTATCCATGATATTATAAATGACAATGATTTTTAGGATCGCTGTATAACCCTCAAAACAAAATAGTTGGAGTTGCGTACACATTCGGAAGGACAAAAGATATTATTTTTAAATGTACTGGGTTTGCCTGCAATCACAGGTGGACTTTATTACTCTTCGTGTCTTGTCAGTGTACAATGTGTATTGTGTAATGTGTATAATATAAATATTGCCTTTGTAGTAAATATTTTTGTATTTAATAACTACAGGCCTTGTATCTAGGGATGTTAACGTTTTCACTTTTTTTGAAAAACAATCGTTTCGTTAAGAAAACGACGACGAAAAATCGAAAACTAAACGATCGTGTTTAAAAACGATCGTTTTATTAAAAAGTTCGTTATATAACTATAGGTCTTGTTGCATAAATAAAAGAATGACACTTTTATATAATAAAGTAACATTTTTGTCTATTTTATTAAAAACTAATTTTTTCAAAAATAAAATTATGAATTATGAACCGGTTGAATTGTGAACCTTTTGGTGCTAATCATTTTCCATAAAAATTCTAATAATTGAACAGTGTACAGCATGTTATTCAAAAAGAACGGATTGATCTCAAAAGCGAGGGGGGAATTCATCAAGTGTCCTGTCTAGTTTTGATCTCAAGGGGAGAATTCATCAAGTGTCCTGTGTAGTTTTGATCTCAAGGGGAGAATTCATCAAGTGTCCTGTCTAGTTTTGATCTCAAGGGGGGAATTCATCAAGTGTCCTGTCTAGTTTTGATCTCAAGGGGAGAATTCATCAAGTGTCCTGTCTAGTTTTGATTTCAAGGGGGAAATTCATCAAGTGTCCTGTCTAGTTTTGATCTCAAGGGGGAAATTCATCAGGTGTCCTGTCTAGTTTTGATCTCAAGGGGGGAATTCATCAAGTGTCCTGTCTAGCTTTTTCGTCTAAAGTCTGTATGTACACTGACAAATTTCTCTAGTTGCCCAAAGGTCGGCCTGGTACTTTAAATGATAAATAATAAAAAATAAAATAATAAAAAATAGTTTACAGAGGGAGAGGTGTCACCATTATAGGACAGAAAAGAAAAGTAGCTAAATCTTAATAGTTTCTAAATAGTTCCTTGATTTTTATACAACCTTTTATTTCTTGAAACACTTCTTAAACGAAGGTTCTATGGAGTTGTATAATGATACTAGCATGGGAACTCAACTTTGCCTGGAAACTAAGTTTTTCCAAAAAGTATCAATAAACTCAACTTTTACAAATTAAACAAAAACATTTCTGTGGTTCTACAGAGTTTCTCAATCAAAGTTTATGAAAATCGGTGAATGGGTTCAAAAGTTATGATCAAACAAACACCATGACAAACTAAGATTTCTACTTTATGTAAAAAAATAACTTGTTTACATTTGAGCCAGCCTAAAACCTGTAACTATTTTAGAGGTGAAAATCAGCGAATTGATTTCTCTGTGTCGGTCAAATTTACTGACGTGACCCAGCCTGCTCTACCACAATATGCAGAATATCCGGTCATAGAGGCTAAATTCCCTAGAGACTTCTTCTATCCCTTTGTTTCCAGCACGGTATGGTTAATATTTTACTCTTTAAAGGGAATGTACACATAGTTTAAAGTGACCTTACATGAAAATATTGCAATATATCTGATTCACAATGGTACCCTGGTGCCCTGAAAAGGTTTGTCTAGGTTTCAAGTCTGAATTAGATATCAGTGCTTCCAATTTTAAAAAACTGATTATTTTCAAATATAGTGTCTCTAAAAATTTAACGAAATTTAGAAAGATTGTGTTCTTTGTCTGTCTTTTTAATAAGAAATTTGGGGCAGAATTATTTAATTTCTATTTTCTTAAAATTTTAACGAACAGAATTTGAAAAAAGTTCAGGGCCAAAGAAGACGATAATAATTCCAATGTTTTCTGGTTACAACTGTAAGTAATCATTTTTTAATAATTAATTAGAAACATTTTTGCACAACGTCGATAAAATTTACGATTTTTTGCATTAATAATAGTTCTTTAAATTGTTTAGGCCGCAAGTCAGCCTGGAGGTGTCTTCTTGATGTGGCTGTTTGTACTATTCTATATTTATAAATCTTTCTCGTAAAAAGATGTTTTTTATTTATCTTTTGAAAAACATAAAGTTAATTTTTACTACTTTTAAATAATTTTGTTTTAATTTTTGCTTTCGATGTGTTTTCCAGATCAAAACTGTAAACATACGAACTTCAGGGTCCTTTCTAGTGAACTTCTAGTAAAGTATTTAAAAAAATCTAAATTTTTTTCTTAAATGATAAAGTTTTGAGAATCTGAAATGAGAGATTGATGCCAAAACTCAATTCCTTGAGGAGCTGATTTTAACTTTAATGTTTTGAACTTTTCCATGGACAGACATTAAACTTTTCCATGGATAGACATCAAACTTTTCCAGGAGATTCAGCCCGATCAAGTTTAAAAAACTAATATTAAAGAAGGAGGGGGGGGGGGGGCTGCTTTTTTATACTTTAAATTCCTAGTCTAATTTTATTGTGGTGTTTTTATCCATTTTTATAGAATTTTTGTAATATTTTACATTTATCATAAACTTATATAACCGGACAAACAAAATGTGCTTTTAGCATTATCTTGTTTTAATTTTAAACAAGGCAGACAAAGGAAATGAGTTGTTGCCACAAACTCTGAGCTTCTATCCTCTAAATCTTTGCAATCCGATATAGTAGACCTTTGATATTTAAACTATTAATCTAGTAGCCCAAATAGTCAAGTTTTAAATATCAACAATTTACACCAATAGGTTGCAAAGATACCAGTTTGAAAATTGTTTAGTTGCATGTTTATTGTTTTTCTTAAAGAAGTATTATGTTAAGATAAAGTTTTTATTTGAGATCTGTCTATCCTTCAGTAACTTTTAAAACTTTCTAAAATCAATTTTGTTAAATGAGAAGGTTTATATTTGAAAAATATGATCTTTCACTTATTTGAAATTCTCTGTTTTATATTAGTTTAATATGTTGATTTTCCGAGTGATTACTTTTGTTAGTTTCTTTTATAGGTTTACTGTATAATGTTTTTTATAATAAATTATTTCAATAAGTTTTTTATTATTTTCGCAAAAAAATAAAATCTAGAAATAAAGGACCCATCTAGGGTTGTTAATCGTTTTTTGAAAACGATCATTAAACGATTGTTTTTCAATTGTTTTAAAAAAGATCGTTTCGCTTTGGGAAAAAACGATCCACTTGTTTTGAACGTTTAGAACACGAATAACGATCGTTTTGACCGTTTTTTATACGATTGTTTTTTAAAAACGATCGCTTTTGAAACAAAAAATTATTGACAATTATGTTACGACCGTTAACAAAGGGTCGTCGTTAACGATCGTTAACGAAACGACGAACTTTATAAAACGGTCGTTTTTGGAAAAACAATCGTTTTTGAAAAAAATAACATGCAACTTTATTGAATGTCGTCTTACATGAAGTTAAAAAGTTGTGGGGGAGCTAAAACCTCTTTATATTTTCTTAAAAATTTCTCAATGTTAAGACAGATGCCCTTAAGGTCGGTTTCCTCTGTTCGTTAACGATCTTTAACGAAGGTTAGTCGTTAACTTAACGACGATTTTTATTAAAACGATCGTTTTAAAAACGACCATTTAAAAAGACTAACTATATGAAAAAACGATCGTTTCGATTTTTTATCGTAGTTTTCATAACGAAACTGTCGTTTTTCAAAAAAAAAATTAAAACGTTGACATCCCTAGACCCATCACATTTAATTTTTAATAGATATCTTAGAGGTTTCGACCTTAGTAGATTTCAAAATTAAGGGATAGGAAAATTGGCGTTAGAGGCGAGTGTTTAGTTCCTTTTTTAATCTTTCGACTAAACAAAAACTCTTAGTTACTTTCGATGTTGGGGAAGAAGAAAAAACTGGGCTAAAGGAATTGAGATTTTAAAGATAAGTTAAAAACTAAGGATATGTGATTCACCTAACCTTACCTATGCCCGTTCGATCTTTTCTTTTAAAAAATGGGATAAGCTGAAGTACAATAATGCAAAAATCGCTTAATCCTTACATTGGTCATGCTTCTACTCCAATTGGCCAGTATTCGTTTTTTGTCTGTTCTGTTATAGTCCATGCAAGTAATCAATAGTCATGCCTATGCCTAGACAACAACTGTTTACAGTGATACCATAGTAAAACGACTTCTAGACTTATAACTTTAAATAGTCCATTAAACATGAGGACACAGCGATTGTGCAGTGTAAATACTAAATAGATCCATTTCACTTAATAAGTGCTCAGATAAGTTACTAGTAAACCTATTGGCTCTGAAACACCATAAAATACACTTATCTATAACTTAAATGTCGTCTTCATATTCCTCAGTTTTAATACTAATGTTATAAATTAATAACAATACAGATAGAACACTAGATGCCGTCTTTTCAAAAATTTGGAGTTTTTCGTTCACAATAACACTGAGGCAGAGGCACAAAGGAGTTACGCGTAAGCTCTCTCTCTGTCTTGTAATTCAACGCTGCCTGTGCGGAACTCCTTTATGCTTCTGCCTCAGGGTTATTGTAATCGAGAAACACTTAAATCTTGAAAAGACGACATCTAGTGTTTTAACTGTTATGTTATTTGTCTATGACTGTAGTGTTTAATATATTTATTGAACAATTTCACAGTTTGTAGCAAAACAATATAAATTTTGTGTTTTTGCAGGGGCGGATACAGGGGGGGGGCGGGGGACATTCGCCCCCTGACAGATTCAGGGAGGGGCGTCGTAGCCCCCCTTGAATTTGGAAGTTTTTGTTCCTGTTTTTTTAGAATAGCTTCTCAATAGCAAGCTTAAGGGAAAGAAACCTTAGTGCAAAACAGGGAAAATATCTGTTTTAATAAACTATGCGTGAAAAGTTTAGTCTTTAGTCATTAATTTTGACTCTTTATGAGTCTTTTAAGTCAAAAAAAATCTTGCCCCACCCCCCTAACTTAAATCCTATGTGTTTGTCTTGTGTGTGTATGTAGGGTAGGGTTTAAACCATGGTAACAAACAACAAACTACGAACCCTGAGCTGTCCTTTTTCTAGTTTTGTAAATCAAAGCTTAGTTCATATCAAGCAAGGTTAGTATTAACATTTATATTTATAGTAATGTTTAAAATATTGGGTTAATTATTAAATTAATTTGAATATAGTAAAAATCCTTAATCTAGACACAGCAAAATTATGCACATTAATTTTATATTATTAATGATTATAATTATACTACTGCAGAGGACATTCTTTCTTTCTTTTCTTTTTTCTTTCTTTTTTCAACTATCATTTTAACAATATGATTCAGCTGAAAACTAAAATTTTTAAGATATGATTCAGCTGAATATTAGAAAATCGTAAGCGACATATATTTAAAAAAATAAAAATAATGATAATGTATTTTAACAATGATGTTAGCAATATAATAATGATAAAAATACATCATCAACCTGCAGAAAGCAACTGGATAGTGTAAAACTATGATATTTCAAACTCAAATTATTTGATCTACCAGTATTGATGAAATATCTAAGGTCTACGACATTGGGCTGCAAAGTTATAAGGATAGGAAAATCAGAGTTTGTGGCAAAGACTCAATTCCTTTTAAGTAACTAGGCTTTTATCTTCTTTTTCAACTGTTAATTGTGGATCTATCAATGAACATCTTCCCTTAGTACAATATAAAACAGAAACAAACAAAAAATCGCAGATTTAATGATATTTTTTCGTGGATCCACTTTTTGAAATCCTGAGCATCCATAAACCTTCCTTGGGATCATGTGAGGTCCCACACAAAATTTTGTTCAGTCGTTCTGACTATTGGATACCGTTTTATGGATCGAAACAGACAAAAAAACAGATAACAGACAAGCAATCATTCCAGTGTTTTTTGGTTACCACTGTAATAATTTACTATAATAATAATAGTAATAATAATGATATTCCTAGAGAAAGATTACACTGATAATAATAATAATACATATAATATTTCTAGATATTGATTACACTGACAATAATAAAAATAAAGATATATTTAAAGAATGATTAAACTGTTAATAATAATACTAAAATGTCCCTAGAGAATGATTACAACAATAATAAGAAATACTAATTTCTCTAGAGAATGCTGTCAATGTCAATGACCCATCAGAGGAAGAGGGAGAAGGAGAAAGCTGCAGCTAGACGAAGGATTGCAAGGATGGAGGTAACTTTAAACCTAGGTTTGTTCGGATTACCAGACTTTAAACCTAGGTTTATTCGAAGTACCAGACTTTAAACCTAGGTTTATTCGAAGTACAAGACTTTAAACCTAGGTTTATTCGGAGTACCAGACTTTAAACCTATGTTTATTCGGAGTACCAGACTTTAAACCTAGGATTATTCGGAGTACCATACTTTAAGCCTAGGTTTATTCGGAGTACCAGACTTTAAACCTAGGTTTATTTGGAGTACCAGACTTTAAACCTAGGTTTATTAATTATTCACGTAGCTTGCAATACAAACTTCCAAATTGATTGACAGAAAAACTTATAATACCATTTATTTCTTATTTGACAGGTTTTAAATTAAGATTGGTGCATTAATTCTGTTCACTGTTTTATCTACTTTATGCTTTATGTTCGACTAGTTTTTAAACCCAGGTTTTCCCTTAAGTTTTCCCTATACAAGTTTACACACTCAACTATTTAAATCTCTTCTGCTTACGTAACGGCTAACCTTCACGACAAAAAAATAAATAGCTAAATATTTTTTATACCTCTGCCTTGTATCACTGTAAAAACAAACTAAGTATTGTTAAAAAAAAAAAAATGCCTCCGGCGCCCCTTTTTGCACCCCCCCTGGATATATCCTTGCTACGGGCCTGATTTTGGCTTTGTCCATCAATGATTAAATATTTTATTGTTTATAAATGTTAGCATGTCACACCTTTTATTAATTAATTTTAACGGGCATTTAAACATGTAGAAAATATTAAACCAATGCAGAGGCTAGATCATTAGATAAAGCTGATTTTTTAGATTTTTGATTTATCGCCTCTTAAGCGAGGGGGGAGCCATATTCTCCAAAATGTCTCATCAGAGCCACCTCGAAATACTCGTCCATCTAATATTATTTTTTTTCGAATCCTAAAATTTTTTTTTATCCGACCACTTTAGGGGCATATAAACAAATATTACATTTTTGAAAATCAAGAAAAAATTATTTCCATTAAATTAAAGATTTAAAGTTTTATGTCCTTAAGATATTTTACTCTTTCACAAGAATTTTCAAAAATTCTTAGAAACTAGTTTGAGTTCGTAGAACTTTTTTGTTCATTATATAGAATTTTCCTGGATGGTTTCAAGGGAAAACATGGTTTTTCTTATTACATTGTCAATGCACACTATAAAGACTAACCTTTTAACAAGTGTATTTGAGCTTATAAGGGTTACATTTTAGTGTCTGAAACTTTTCAGTTTACATATACCATTTAGTATGAATTTATCTACATGATATAGTACAGTACTGCTAAACCAACAGAATCAAGTTATTATTTATTACTTTGACTTTGCAATATGATAATTGATAATGATATATTCACATTTCTTATTCATTTAAAAAAGCTTGTCAAGGATCAATGGGGGGGGGAAAAGATCCTATTATGTATTAATGTAAACATACTTTTTTACTTCCCCCATCGACTACTCGATCCTTCGTGTAATTGATAATGATAAAACAAAAGCTAAAAAGTACTATTAATAAATAGACATTGTGGATAAAAAAAAACAAGACAAATGGTTTTGGAAATGAAACGATTTTGACAAGAAAAAAATGTCACGAAAAAAGTTCCCGTAAATATTTAATAAGGCCATAATTCTCAGAAAAACTGGTTTGATCCAGAAATTGTAATAAACCTCCCTAGTTAAGCTTGTATATGTATATTTGTATCCTTGGAAGCTTTTCTTGTTGATTAAAAATTTATACTTTTCCCGGATTTTCTGAGTTTTGACTCCGCGGCATTATTTATTCAACTTGATGCACGCGGCCTCGCGCTTATTTGTTAATTTATTCATCCATGTTTGCTTTTGCTTATTTATATACGAGGTCCGACATTTTGACCGCTGACGTCGAAAAAGAATTTCGACCTTCTCCTTGAGCCCAGTTGGGGTATATTTCTGACAGAAACTAAGCTAAGTTGAAATGTTGAAGTAAAGGTGATTTTAACTGACACACAAATATTAAATGTGACATTGAGTATTCCCAAAGCATTCGCATTTGAACATGGAGTCTGGACAAGGAGAACTACAATTTATTACTATTGTATACATCAATGGTTTCCATGGAAGAACAGGGTGTTACGCTAAACATGAACATTAAGAAACTACATAAAGATTGTCTATATATATTTATTAAAATGACAAATTTTAAAAGTTTTTCATATTTTCACTTGTTTCTAATCTTAGAAAAAAATAGTGCCAATTTTTACAGCTCATTCTAAACTTAAGTTTTTAATAAAAGAAGGATCTAAACTTGCAGGTTATAACCACAACCTGACGAAATTTTTTGATGAAACGCACCTTTAATCGTTTTTCGAGATCAGTCCCTTTAATGATTATTCCTTTAGGCGGAAAGAAAGAAAGAAGAGCACGAGGGAACTTCTGAGGAGGAATCGGAGGTAGGAATTTTAAAAGAAAAAAATTGTTAATTTAAAAAAAAAAAATTCTGTTTAGGGCGAAAAAGATTCGTGCACTGAAGAAAACGAGAAGAAATGATGAAACTAAATCATCAATAGTTCAATTCTAATTTGGAAATAAAAAATTTAGAGTCAAAATAAGCTTTTCAAATTCTTTTTATGAAAGAAAGAGAACTTTTTTACATTCACAATAACACCAATCAAAGAGGAACAATGTAAATTTACCGAACAATATTTTTAATCAGTTTTTGTGAATCTATTTATACTAGGCTTTTAGAGCGCTTCGCGCCCACCTTATATTTCAATTGTGATCATGTTCCATTTGTATACATTTAAAACAAAAACAAAACAAAAATTTCGAGGATTTTCAAAATTTTTCAAAATTGAATTTTGTTAAACCTTCCATGGGGTCAGGCAAGGTCCCACAAAAAATGTGGTCCCAATCGGTTCAGCCGTTTTGACGTTTATTGGATTCGAACAAACAGACAAACACCCGGACAAGAATAGTATATAAATAGATAAAGTTGTAATCTCAGTTTGTCTATTTGTTTGTTTGACCCATCATAACTCAGGAGACCAAAGGGAATTTTCTTGGCCTGGTTTTGAAATTCTAAATTGAGTGGGTCAATTTTTAACGGGAAAAATATATAATATCGTAATTTAGACAAGGGGAGGGTATAGTAGTGGGACTAACTATGACCCCCATGGGTCGCGCTGGGTTCCCATGAGCTAACGACTGTACGTACGTGCAACGTTCGGTTAAAGTTTCATCTATTTCTAAAAAAGTGTCTTCAGAGACGACTGTACAGAATTTATTAGTCTTTTTTCCTAGAACCCTACAGATGCACACTTGTAAGTAGTGTTGATCATTTAGTTTTGTTCGTTCTGTACTTACAGAGCACAAGATTTATGTACACTTTACTGTACTGCTGCCAAATTTTAAATGGACCGGTCAGTTAAAACCTTTTCAGTGAGTTTTGGAAGAAATGTTTTTTGCATTAAATTTGCCCCCCCCCCTTAATATTGCTTGTTTGGATTTTGGCTGACAAATATTGAGAAAATATGTAATAAATAAATATATATGTCTGTACTATGAATTATTTTGTCAATTGTTATAAGTATTTATTGTTTTTGTATTCTCTTAAATGGGACTAGGGGGGGTGCACCCACTCTGGCTACGGGCCTGGCCAAAATCACAGGGGAGTGAAGGAATTTTTACCACACCACTATATTAGACACAAAAATAAGTATGAATTGATACATTATGTATCTATAGTCCTGATGTTTCATCATGTCTAATGTCTATAAATCTATAAAATCTTATAAACATAAATTCTCATTTCTTTGCTATCTATTTGATTCATTGTGGATTATGAGACCTGTCCTATACACTGTCTGGCATAATAATAATAAATAAACATGGGCATCGTTAATAGAAATTCGCGCAAGATCATTAAAAAAAAGAAGAGACGTTTTCTCAATAAGCGATCTTTTTCTTCAACAAATTTTCGAACGGAAATGATTTTTAAGGAAGAAAAAGTTATTTTTTAGAAAAGCCCAACCTGTTCAGCCCTAAAAGTATATATAATGGAAATGCACGATACCTTTGATGTATTGTATAGTATTGAATACTAAACAATTACTTAAATTTGTTATATAACAAATATAATTATATATCTATATGCATAGAGCTAAATGAATGATAAACTTGTTTTCCAAAATAAATAAAAATACTAGATCTAAAAACTGAAAATGTCTTGCCCAAGTTTTTTTTTAAATCTTTATAATTAAAGTTTAATTATCGCTACTAAAAAGTTTTCTTTTCAAAGATCGTCTTTTTACAAGCTAGACTGTTGAAGAAACAAAAATTTATGCAACATTATTGATACGACTTTGGAATATCGTAGATCCGCTGGTTTACATATATTACGCCACAAGTATGAGTACGCCAAATTATTTCGGGTACATATGAGAAATTGTGAATATTTTCAATATTTCTAAATTAAAATTAAAACATTTTAGATTTCAAGCTGTCGTGCAATTTACCTTAGTTTGACGTATTGTGTTTATCGTAAAATGAATATATTGTTAGTCAAGTTAATTTGTTATGAAATTTATGATATTCGTCTGCATCTTTTCCGGAAAAAGTTCCAGCTCCCTTCAAGAAGGGTACTTTGAACTGTCTCCTTATGATATTATCTTACCTTATTTCTGAGTAAATCTGACCAGGTAGACTAGCTGTTCCTTCCTCCTTCCTCTCCACTCCTATCTGAACTTAATTTTCGGTAAATTCATACTGCAAGAAGAGGGCTGACAAGAATCCCACTGCCGAAAAGCTGCTTAAGCCTGAGAATAGTAGAGTGAAGGAATTCTTCTGATACACTGGAATGAGGCCCAGGTGTCTTGCAGGAGGGAGGGAACCCCCGGACGCCATGAGTCTCCACTATGCAGTCACGAGCCTCCCAGATTTGCTAGGCAGACGGAGCCTCCACTATACAGACCAAGCCTCCGCTATGCAGACCGAGCCTCAACTATACAGACCAAGCCTCCGCTATGCAGACAGTGCCTCCGCTAAGCAGTAAACGAGCCTCCACCATACAGCACAGCTTTTATAAATCTTGGTTTTTATGTGTAATAAAAAATGTTAAAATTTTTTTTTTGACTTAGTGGCTTAAACTTTTACTAAAGATTAGAGTTATTTATTTATTGTCATGATTAGAAACATATATGGACTAATAAAGTGGTTTATAAGATTCAAACTAAAACTTTAAACATTTCTTACGCAAAAAGATATTTGAGGAAATATTTCTTGAGTAAACTTTGTTTGTTTTGTTGTAATCTTTGATTTAAACAATGCTTCTTTGAAAAATGTTAAGATTTTAATAAATGACACACATTTTCTAGATTTGCCTTTTCGTGTAAAAAATGTTTAGAGTTTTATATAACATTTTATTAGTCATAATTAGGCACTATTTATGATAATTCATGAATATTTCTTTGAGAAGTCTCTCATGCCCCTTTGTCGAAAAAATTTGTTAAAAAATCTTTTATTTAAACTTAAAACACAAGTATAAAAATACCTCCTGTATTACACAGGCACATTTTGCTCATTACTGCATAGCTAAGGCTCGGTCTACCTAACAAATCTAGGAGGCTCGTGCCTTCATAGCGGAGGCTCATGGCGTCCGGGGGTTCCCTCCCTCCTTGCAGACAGGAAACATCACACTTGTTGCTCCCAGTCATTTGTAAGCCCGGATTGGATACCCCGAGGTGCCTATATCTAGTAACCATAGACTCTTCCTGCTTGTCCACCGTCTGCAGTGTACACCTTTCCTCTCTTCATCATCATTCACTTGGATCAATCCATTTAAAGCTTCTTTCTTGTTGAGTAGCCGATGCGAGAGTTGTAGACAGTCGCCCCTCTGTCCTCCTTCATACGTCAGGTGGTCATAACTGCATAACCAGGATTTTGTTGAGTGCGGGAATCGACATAAGTGTACACCACTTACTGGCTGCGGGCAAATGCAGCTTAACTTTAATGATCTAATGATAACTGCATGGTGTTATACACTAGCCACCCCATCCGACAAATCTCAAAGATAGATATAAAGAACAAAGAGGTTTTGTCTGACATTGTTTTGTCTCTGTTTTATTCAAGTCCTTGCTCAAAGTTCTAGATTAATCTACAAGGTCCTCTCAGCTTTCGTTCATTTTTGTATCCAAAGTATAGACGTCGACGAGACCAACAAACTGGTCAAGGGCGGATTTTTTTAGGGAGGTCATTCAGTGAAATACTTAGTTCTGTATGTTTTTGTTAAATTTTAAAAATAAATAATAACTTGCTTACTTACTTACTTACTATTTGCTTCATAACAACGCATAAAATACATAAAACTGCCTAAACGTTGTCTTCCTTTTCCACAAATTCTTACCTATGAATTTTAAGTTTGGTCAAGAATAAACTTTTTTGCTTCAACATTTTTTGTTAACAATTTTCAATTTTTAATGTTCGCGGTAAAGCTAACATCATTTATCTATACTTTGCTTGTCTGTTTGTTTACGCCTCAGTCCAATCAGGCCCAATCAAGTGACCTAAGATTTTAAGGTCACCAATTTGAACAGAAAAATCTGCTTGAAATATTTATTGTTGAGTACTAATGGCGACTTGAAAAGCAATGATAAAGAGACGCAAAGTAAAGCATTTCCGAATTTTATATAATACATATACATAGATAAATATGAATAAAATGTTATAAGAAGATTGTTGTGTTTCAACTGATATATATATATATATATATATATATATATATAAAGAATTTATGTATGTTGCAGTTCTGACCAGACTCTATAGTATTTACTTTATACCGAATTTATAGGATCCATCAGGGTTCAGATAAATATAAAGTTCGGTGATGGTGATGAACCAAAATAAGGGTTAGGCGCATAGAGTAATAAAACGTAATTTGAAAATTGTCAAATGTTTGCAGTCAAGATCCTCGAAGAAAGAAAATCTAAAAATTTGTCAATTTCATAAAATCACCCTTAGAAATACGATCACTCTATATACAAGTGTACAGCGTTAGATACGTAAACATATCCTGATGTATACAACCGACCGCTCTATTAATTAATTAATGAGGAGGTCGGTTGTGTACATCTGAGCTAAGCTTCACCTCTTCGTTTTATTTCTCTATGGTTGGGCGATTTTGGAACCTAGCTTGAGGTGCAGTTGGCGAAGTTGGACAGAGCTGGGAACTATAGAATGGATAACCTTTAATCCAGACTGCTTAATCCGAATATCCACTGTGGAAACTTTTAATTTTAGTCCTTAATCCACTCTTTTTCTCTCTATGGACATCCGTACATTGTTTTCTCGAATGAGAGTGCAGGAATTTAGTTCGTAAATTGACAGCCTTGAAAACAAGTTTTATCCAATGAGAGACCTCTGCAATTTCTAACAAATAAAAAACTTGTTGTCGGCCATTTTGTATATTAATCAGTGAAGAAAATATTTAATAATACGTTAGAGATTCTTTTCTAACTAATTGTAACCAATGTATTAATAAATAAATGTGTGAGAAATTAAGTGAAGGCCCTTCCAGTCAAGAAAACGAACAAATCTGACGTTCCTAGAATCAAATTTGTTGACCTAAATAATTA